AAACACCTAGTACAATGTAAGACTCAAGGAATAAACGGAAATTTACGTATTTATGATTGGAATAAATGGTCTTACCTCTAAATCTATCCATTGTATTCGACACAATATCCTGTTTTGTGTTAAGTGACGAAGTTAAGTGACGTGATTATGAACATTGACAAAGCGAAAATATTGTTAAATCATAATTACAGTGAACTTTCTTATTAAAAAAATTGCAAACGAATAATTGGATGCGATACAATTAGCATTTTATTATCTGATATTTTATTTTTTTGCGATAAAATGTATAATAGTTTTGTACTCTGGTGTTTACACGTATACAGTCCACCCACCCTATAACACTATTGATTTTTCCGTTTTATATGAATTCCATGTTGTACGAGTCACTTAGAATTTACAAATACGTAAGCGGTTCACAGCCCGGCACATGTATTTGTAAAATATAAGTGACTCGTACAGCATGGAATTCATATAAAACGGAAAAATCAACAGTGTTATAGGGGGGGTCGACTGTACTTCTTAAACACATTCCTTATGGTGAGATGTGTGAGACTTTCTCGGGCCCTAAAGTGTAACGTATAAAGTTTTCCCTTTTGTATTCAAGTCCTGATTTAAAGTGTAAAAGATCATATGGATATGGTTAATTCCAATAATTGCTGCATAATGAGGTGTTACTTTTATATGAAATGTGTACTAAATTGAGACTTCGTGATAAAGTTTTTCGCATTACAGAAGTTTCTGAAGAATTAATGTAACCACTTTACCACCTTAAATTCGTCCATATACTCCATTAGGATATGGAAACAAGTGTGACGACCTTTACTCTCTAGCAGGCCTCACCAAGAGCTGATACACTCTTGGGGCACGATGGTGTCACGTGAAGACACATCGAGTCCCATATGTTGAGAGAAATCGACCTAGTTTTTCGGAAGTGTCTAAAATTCTTTTGTAGATAATATATTATTTCTACAAAACCGCCTTGCAGCTTTGGGAATTGTTAATTTTTTAGCCACTGGAAAAGACGGATATGTAAGAGGATGGGTGATTGATGTGGGATGCACACTTCTCTTTAGATTCTTTGGAGCAGTAAGGAAGAAATGATGCTATTACACGCATGAAAACTAATAGTGAGAATACATATTTACTGACAGGTACTATCCAATGACAATGCATTTCAATTCGGAGTGGGAAGAATGATAGGGTTGTTCCACCCCCCCATTATTCTTACCGACTTGAAACCTGAGAACATAACTAAATTAATATAAATGTAAAATTTATTCAGTGGTATCATGGATACTTTAGATGTGTATATGAGGATGGTTCCACTGGAGCAACCTTAATGAGGGTTGCTTCACTGTTTTCTATATTGGGGTTGGTGAGGGGGTGGTCCACGTCCACGGAGCAATTCGTCTGGATGGAGCAGTGCACACTTGTTTACGTAATGTCGACGTAAGTTTTTAGTCTTATTCATTGTCAGATAAAAGAAGGTGATGCCAAATTGACGTAAAAATGTCAAATCTAACAGACAATGTCAGATGAGCCGCTTTCTCAGTGATTTTGGCAGATTTGGGGTGGTTTAACAATGCGCTCTTTAATTTACATATCGAACAGCACGTTACGTTAGTGGCATTAATAAAATTTACTGCTAAAATAACTGAAATTCAGGATTTTATTAAAAACAATTACAATAAAACATTTTATTACGTAACAGTACAATCCCAGGCAGCAGTTTTAAGCTACACAAGTCACCATTTTATGTTACGTAAAATAAACAGTTGGAATTGTTAATTATTAATCAATCAATCGGTTATTCGAACCAAGAAAAAACTAAGAACGGGAGTTACAGCAAACACGAGAAATGGTCCTCAGGTTCTTAAATTCCTACTCGAGCGTGGTACCAAATTCTGCAAGTAAAAAAAAACCCCATTAGAATGTAATAAATGGTAAATTATATACAAAAGTTATCCTGAATACTACCGGGAACATAGTCCTTCACAATATCAATGTACTCGAGATCGGTAAAATGTGACAGCACATCCATTACTTTCTCGTTTTTGAGTATATTCATATGGTAGTTTATCATCCTGATATATTTGACAAATTGTAAAGAATGATATTGTACGAGTTTCTTACAAATAGGTTTATACATCTCCTCGATCTTAGAATCATCTGTTTAATAATAGAACAATTAGTTGCGCGTTAATGGAAGTGTACAGTACAATTGTTAAAATAATACCATACGTTCTTTGTAAGTTTCCAGCAAAATGCAAAGTTTAAGGAGGGAGTAAAACGTAGTTAATTCCTCCGTCTTGTAAAACATGATGAATTGTTTTATATACACAATAGAACTGTATAGATGATGAGCTTTCAAGTCGTCGTCATCATTGAGTAACACATCACCGAATTCGAAGGCTGCATAATGCTTCAAATCGTCGAGAAACAATGCAAAGTCCATTAACACCATCTTCCACAGGTGTAGATCTATTATCATCATCTGCAATTTTATTTCTGTGTTAATTTAGTGAAGTAGAACAATACAAAATACAGTCGTCCCCCCTATAACTGTTAATTATTCCGTTTTATATGAATTCCATGTTATACGAGTCACTTAGATTTTGCAAATACGTGAGCGTTCACAGCCCTGCACATGTATTTGTAAAATCTAAGTGACTAGTACAACATGGAATTCATATAAAACGGAATAATCAACATTGTTATAGGGGAGTCGAGTGTATATGAAAGTTTACTTACCAAAGTTTCTTCAGAAATATTCTCCCAAGAAATATTGTTGATTACTAAATCTACATTTTCTATCATTAAGTGATTTATAATGAAAGATAATTTCTTCTCACTTGAATAGGTACTGCTATACAAGACCTGGAGAACACAGAAGCGGTGTTAAAATGGAAGATATTAACACAAAATTTTACAGAGTACCTACCTTGTTTGCTGCTTCTTTTAACATTGCCGATTTGTATGGAAAATTTATATTTACTTTTAGGGAATGTCGTGGAGGTATTCGTTTACACAATATTGCCCTCCTCTTTAGCTGTTGTTTGTTAAGTCTAGGTCTTATAGCTGAAGGTTCTAAAAGGTTAAAAAGCCGAACTACACTTACGCAATATTTTATACGACCAAAAGTTTATTTACAATAGATAAAACACTGAAATTTTTAATCATTTCGTAAGAAACACTTACCTCGAGATGCAACATCAATAACTTTTAATCGAGACAAGTCAATCTCTCCTGGTTTGTATAATTCTGATACAGCGTTAACAGGGATGATCATGTAATGAGGTCGATTTTTTAGAAGTACAGGTACTAGAAAACAAACAAGAAATTGAGATTTATCCATCTAAAATACGAAGTAACAGTTCTACTTACTTCTGTACTCGTTTGAGATAATTTTGAACCAATTCATATGATCAGTGCAAATGATAACACCTTCAGATATTTCTGGTTCGTCTAGAAGGAATTGATGAATGAAACTTCATATTTCCAAATGTAAAATCTACAAAACTAGACACTACTTAGAAAAAAAATTACACTTACTAGATTTTGCAGCTGCTTGAANTACCACGTGGCCACACCTCAGGTTCGTTTTACCAATGGTTTCCAACTTATTCGAATAACTCGATTGTAGAAATATCTGAGTTCATCAGGACATGACCCTGGATCCCGTAATGGTTTGTTGGTGTCTTTACCTATTTGGCCATCTGGCAATCCGAAAATTTCGTGTTGAAGCCAGAACCTATGACCTTTTAGAACATTAATTAATCTACTGCAATACAGGACAGCTTTATACCTGAATACTAAATACGACAACGGATAAGTATTATCAGAATGAGTCCGAATAAATGGAGTTTGAATATGAATTGCTCTGTACATAAAGGCCATTTTTTGACCTTGCATGGCTCACACCAACTTAATTCTCCCTTGGCAGATGGATGCCCTGTGTACAGTCTCCCTGTTGGCTGATGTCCTTACGTGTTGCTGCAAATGAACGATACACTTAAAGCTTAACACGAAACGGTGTAAAATAAAAATTTAACGTTACCGTGAATGAACGAATGAAGATTTCATTAAAGTACAAAACAAATTTTTAATCATTCTACAACATATTTAAGTCTTCACTTTTAAAAAAGTCTTCAGTTTTCTATAGGATATTCGAAATCTGAAAGATTTGAAATTAGCTAAATTAACTATACACATTTATATTCATAATTTAAACTAATTACCTGGTATAAAATCATGAATAATATCAAAATGGTCATAAACGTTAAGCGTATTAAAGATATTGACGGCATCTTCATCTTCGATAGTATCCATTGTTTCGTATAGATCCGAGATAACTTTTACAAAATATGGGGACTTATCACTGATAAGTTTATTCTGTAACTTTCTGAACAAGAAATAAACCTCCTCCTCTTCTTCTATAAAGATTACATGTTCCAAGTTTCATAAATTAATTAGTAAAATTAGTAAGAATATCACTTACCAGACAAGAGAAAGACACAAAGTTTCATGTGATGGAAGAAGGTCATCAATTCTACGTTTTTAAAATACATAAAGAAAGAGCGCATAGAGTGAACATAGTTAGAAAATAGTTGAAAAGTTTCCTGCTCAACATTACTCTTAAATTGTTCTTGAATATTAAAATCTAGGAATTCGTGCAATTCTTCGTAAAGGAATGCAAAGTCAATCAAAACTAATTTGCATAATTTTTTCCTGATGAGTTCCACCTGAATACTTTTGCTAGTTAGTACGTTTAAGATGAAATTAATTAGATTTAGAGGTCCGTACTTACAAATGTAGCAGCAGGCAATGTGTACCAAAGGATGTTATTCAGTACCAGTTCAGCATTTTGCAATATCAGGTTGTCTAGATATAATTTCAATCGTATGTGTTTTGCCTTGCGATGGAATAAGTCGGAGAAAATTATCTGTAATGAATGTAGGTAAATTGATTCATTAAAGGATTGTATAAAGGATGATGAACAGATTATCCACAAAAAATAAAGAGCATCGTGGTAGAATTACAACGCGAATTAAATTAGACACGGGTAGCTTATCCTGAAGTTTAGTTACACAGCTGTGGCCTAATGAGTAAAACCACTAAACATAATCGCGCCTCACCAAAGTGGAGTATTTCGGGTCTTCTTCGCATCTGTAAATCTTAAATAGGAGCCAGTTCCCTACAGAAAATCTTTCTGGAAGCAATGGCGCTTTATAGCTTCATGGTGCCCAGGTGAATTTGAATTAGGAGCCCCACGTACTGTGTCGAGTTCAGACATTTTTATTCGGTGGAATTTTTCGGGACGAAATATATTCTAATAAAAGATTGGCCCTCTGTTAGTGGTGGTCTCGGGCAATTGCCCATTCTGCCCATATAATAACGCGCACTCTTCCTTGACAGATCGGCCACGGATTGCGTTGCTCCACACCATCAACTCTTCAATCCTTTAATCCTGAAGGTTAGTTGTGTTGGTCTTCATTAGTAATTGAGCAGTGGGAACAGAAGTATCCAACACATTGTCTACCTGAAGATGCAAAAAGACAGGTACTTTTTCAACTAGATTCAGTAATCGCCATGAAATACAAAATGCCATTGAGATAACCATGAAGATTTAGTGTCGCGTGAATTGAGAGATTAGCATTAATTGAAATCCACGTATTGTGAAAACCCAACAGTAATCTGGATTCTATTCCTCACTCCAAAACGGGGAGTCGAAGCTAAACTAGTATGGCCACCTTGCTAACTAAAACACGATTCATTCACATTGTTGGTATTGATATTACCTCAATAAGGAACTGTCAACACGCGAAATAACTTCACTTTATCTAAAAAAAGTGTTTAAAATGATACTTACACTATTAGTATACTTCTTAAATTGTCTTGATTTGTACTTCGTACCACAGCACTTTACTTCTACACCTTTTGCGCGTATATTNAAACAAACAAGAAATTGAGATTTATCCATCTAAAATACGAAGTAACAGTTCTACTTACTTCTGTACTCGTTTGAGATAATTTTGAACCAATTCATATGATCAGTGCAAATGATAACACCTTCAGATATTTCTGGTTCGTCTAGAAGGAATTGATGAATGAAACTTCATATTTCCAAATGTAAAATCTACAAAACTAGACACTACTTAGAAAAAAAATTACACTTACTAGATTTTGCAGCTGCTTGAATGGGAGTAACTTCCGATTTTGCGTCTGCTGTTTTCATCTCTCCTCCTGTCTTAACTGATTCGTCCATCTTCTCCAATTCAGGCTCTGATCTCTCTTCGATGAGTACTGTTGCTTTTTCTTCGAAGCTTTCTCGCTTCTTTGGTTGAGACATTTCTTCAGGTGGTTTCTCCAATTTCTCTCCATCTTCCTCAATGCTTGATTGACTTTCCTCTTTTGTGGCCGATCTAGTTTCCTCCTCTCCTGCCGATCTAGTTTCCTCCTCTGCTGCCGATCTAGTTTCCTCCTCTGCTGCCGATCTAGTTTCCTCCTCTGAGACCGATCTAGTTTCCTCCTCTGAGACCGATCTAGTTTCCTCCTCTGAGACCGATCTAGTTTCCTCTTCTTCGGCAGATCTAGTTGCCTCTTCAACAAAAACCTTATCTACTTTTTCTAATTCAGCTTCCAGCCACTCTGCCTCCTTTTTTTCCTTATCTTCCTGCATTTCCTGCTTGCCTGTGAATTTAGCAACATTNGCTCCTCTGAGACCGATCTAGTTTCCTCTTCTTCGGCAGATCTAGTTGCCTCTTCAACAAAAACCTTATCTACTTTTTCTAATTCAGCTTCCAGCCACTCTGCCTCCTTTTTTTCCTTATCTTCCTGCATTTCCTGCTTGCCTGTGAATTTAGCAACATTTTGCTCTGTTATTTCCACATTTTCATGTCGAGGGAATCTTTCAAGAAATGTCGTTTCCTCAAAAAATTCTTCTATAACCTCCCTCATTTTTGCTAATCTTTCCTCCCCGACTACGGGTTTTGTTAAAGCACCAAAATCTGTTTCTTCCGTTTCTGCAAGTTCACTCATCTTTCTTACTCTTTCCTCTTCCCCCTTATTATTTTTAAATACTTTACGTGACTTTGAAAAACCAGGTTTTGATGCTTCCATAGCAGACTGTTCGATTGATTGCTTCTTCTGGGCTTCCATCTTCGAGTCTAAAGTATCTGCTCGATAGGATGATGCCAAGGGTTTGTCGCCTGGAGAAAGTGTAGTCGCTTCTTTCAATTTATTTTTTATCATGTCTTCAAGTTTTGCAACTGTTTCTTGTAGTTTTCGCTCTTTTTCTTTTATATTTCTAATCTCCTCTTCATTGCATTCCTCTTCTTCCATCTCTTCTTTCTTTACAAGTTCTATCATTACTTTCATTAGTTCCAATCTATTCATTATGCAGTCATTCTGAAGTTTTTTTAGATCTGTTGTATCTTCCACTGCTTCAGTTTCCTCTTCGTGACTTGAAAAAGAAGCTGACAATTCCCGTTTTTCCTGCCCAGTTATTTCTATTTCTTTTGTAAGCTTAGTAATATCGTCTCTTAAAGTTTCTTCTGTTTCTTCCAGATGTCTAATTTCCTTTTCTAATTCATCAGATTCAGCCATTTTTCCTAATTTTATTCTTTGTTCCTTTTGATTTAGGATTGCTAATAGTACTTTTGAATGTTCTAGTCTCTTCATAAGCAATTTTGATTTCAAATCGCAGGAAATTAATAAAGAAGAAGAACCTTTTGGTTCTTCACCAGGTTTAATTATTATTCCTTCAGTTTCTTCTTCAGCTAATTTCTTTTTTATCTTCATTCCTGAAGGTGACCTAGAGACACAGACAATGTCTTCTAGTTTTTCAGCGAGTTCGTTCATTTCTCCTATACTTTTATGAACTCTTTCTACAATTGCTAAAGGTTTAGTTTTAGCTTCTTTTGACTCTGCTTTTAGTTTTCTTTGCTGTTCTTTCAAATTTAACAAGGTTTTGGTAAGGGATAATTTCTCTTCAGTTAATTCTAGTATTTCTTTAAAAGAAGTTAGCATCAAATGTCTGGAACTTAAAGATGCTGAAGCGATGTCTTCTGCTTCTTTATACTTGGCAGCAGCTGATTCCTCTTTTGGTTCAATTAATTTGCTTTCAGTTTGTTTAATTTCTTCAACTCTTCTGTCTGATTCCTGTTTGCTAGATTTCTCTCTCTTTCCTTCAAATTGATCTTGTCCTTTAATTGATTTTCTAGGAGATTGCGAAGAGGAACCCTTTTCCATTTTCTGTTCTTTAGAGCGCCTAGTGTCTTTCCTTGATTTCTGTCGCTTCTTTTCTTCAGCAGCTACTCCTTCCCCTTCACCCTGCTTACCTTTTACATCTTTCCCTTTAGATGCTCTCTTATCTTTCTTCTTACTCGCATCGTACTCTTCGTCAGATGGAGGTGGTGCCATACTAAAAAAATTAGTTTCCTACATTAAAAATAATTAAGTGGTTTAAACTATTGTAAAAATAAAAGCACAATAATATGAAGAACACTGAAAACTTCAAGTTTCATGAGGTGGGAAATTTCTAAAGCAATACAATTTCTTACACACTCAAAGAAACTTCTTGAAATTCGAATTTAAGCAAGTATTCAGTGAAATTTTTATAGGAATTTTAATATAGCTCATGAAATTAAAGTTAAATTCGCAAAAATCTAATTTCTTTTACTTACTTTAGCTCTAGAACACTACAAAACCAATAGCAAAGCGTACAGTACCTCGTCCCAGGTTGATGGTGAAACTCGTTTGCATATTTTTACGTGTAATCTCATAATAAAATTTTNACCAATTCATATGATCAGTGCAAATGATAACACCTTCAGATATTTCTGGTTCGTCTAGAAGGAATTGATGAATGAAACTTCATATTTCCAAATGTAAAATCTACAAAACTAGACACTACTTAGAAAAAAAATTACACTTACTAGATTTTGCAGCTGCTTGCCTTACGTCTTGAATGGGAGTAACTTCCGATTTTGCGTCACCTACTGTCTTAACTGATTCGTCCATCATCTCCAATTCAGGCTCTGATCTCTCTTCGATGAGTACTGTTGCTTTTTCTTCGAAGCTTTCTCGCTTCTTTGGTTGAGATATTTCTTCAGGTGGTTTCTCCAATTTCTCTCCATCTTCCTCAATGCTTGATTGACTTTCCTCTTTTGTGGCCGATCTAGTTTCCTCCTCTGCTGCCGATCTAGTTTCCTCCTCTTCGGCAGATCTAATTTCCTCCTCTGAGACCGATCTAGTTTCCTCTTCTTCGCCAGATCTAATTTCCTCCTCTGCGACCGATCTAGTTTCCTCTTCTTCGGCAGATCTAGTTGCCTCTTCAACAAAAACCTTATCTACTTTTTCTAATTCAGCTTCCAGCCACTCTGCCTCCTTTTTTTCCTTATCTTCCTGTATTTCCTGCTTGCCTGTGAATTTAGCAACATTTTGCTCTGTTATTTCCACATTTTCATGTCGAGGGAATCTTTCAAGAAATGTCGTTTCCTCAAAAAATTCTTCTATAACCTCCCTCATTTTTGCTAATCTTTCCTCCCCGACTACGGGTTTTGTTAAAGCACCAAAATCTGTTTCTTCCGTTTCTGCAAGTTCACTCATCTTTCTTACTCTTTCCTCTTCCCCCTTATTATTTTTAAATACTTTACGTGACTTTGAAAAACCAGGTTTTGATGCTTCCATAGCAGACTGTTCGATTGATTGCTTCTTCTGGGCTTCCATCTTCGAGTCTAAAGTATCTGCTGGATAGGATGATGCCAAGGGTTTGTCACCTGGAGAAAGTGTAGTCGCTTCTTTCAATTTATTTTTTATCATGTCTTCAAGTTTTGCAACTGTTTCTTGTAGTTTTCGCTCTTTTTCTTTTATATTTCTAATCTCCTCTTCATTGCATTCCTCTTCTTCCATCTCTTCTTTCTTTACAAGTTCTATCATTACTTTCATTAGTTCCAGTCTATTCATTATGCAGTCATTCTGAAGTTTTTTTAGATCTGTTGTATCTTCCACTGCTTCAGTTTCCTCTTCGTGACTTGAAAAAGAAGCTGAGAATTCCCGTTTTTCCTGCCCAGTTATTTCTATTTCTTTTGTAAGCTTAGTAATATCGTCTCTTAAAGTTTCTTCTGTTTCTTCCAGATGTCTAATTTCCTTTTCTAATTCATCAGATTCAGCCATTTTTCCTAATTTTATTCTTTGTTCCTTTTGATTTAGGATTGCTAATAGTACTTTTGAATGTTCTAGTCTCTTCATAAGCAATTTTGATTTCAAATCGCAGGAAATTAATAAAGAAGAAGAACCTTTTGGTTCTTCACCAGGTTTAATTATTATTCCTTCAGTTTCTTCTTCAGCTAATTTCTTTTTTATCTTCATTCCTGAAGGTGACCTAGAGACACAGACAATGTCTTCTAGTTTTTCAGCGAGTTCGTTCATTTCTCCTATACTTTTATGAACTCTTTCTACAATTGCTAAAGGTTTAGTTTTAGCTTCTTTTGACTCTGCTTTTAGTTTTCTTTGCTGTTCTTTCAAATTTAACAAGGTTTTGGTAAGGGATAATTTCTCTTCAGTTAATTCTAGTATTTCTTTAAAAGAAGTTAGCATCAAATGTCTGGAACTTAAAGATGCTGAAGCGATGTCTTCTGCTTCTTTATACTTGGCAGCAGCTGATTCCTCTTTTGGTTCAATTAATTTGCTTTCAGTTTGTTTAATTTCTTCAACTCTTCTGTCTGATTCCTGTTTGCTAGATTTCTCTCTCTTTCCTTCAAATTGATCTTGTCCTTTAATTGATTTTCTAGGAGATTGCGAAGAGGAACCCTTTTCCATTTTCTGTTCTTTAGAGCGCCTAGTGTCTTTCCTTGATTTCTGTCGCTTCTTTTCTTCAGCAGCTACTCCTTCCCCTTCACCCTGCTTACCTTTTACATCTTTCCCTTTAGATGCTCTCTTATCTTTCTTCTTACTCGCATCGTACTCTTCGTCAGATGGAGGTGGTGCCATACTAAAAAAATTAGTTTCCTACATTAAAAATAATTAAGTGGTTTAAACTATTGTAAAAATAAAAGCACAATAATATGAAGAACACTGAAAACTTCAAGTTTCATGAGGTGGGAAATTTCTAAAGCAATACAATTTCTTACACACTCAAAGAAACTTCTTGAAATTCGAATTTAAGCAAGTATTCAGTGAAATTTTTATAGGAATTTTAATATAGCTCATGAAATTAAAGTTAAATTCGCAAAAATCTAATTTCTTTTACTTACTTTAGCTCTAGAACACTACAAAACCAATAGCAAAGCGTACAGTACCTCGTCCCAGGTTGATGGTGAAACTCGTTTGCATATTTTTACGTGTAATCTCATAATAAAATTTTCAAATGAAATAAATTCTTTTACGATTTAAAATCTATATTTTAATATTGTTTAAAAAATATTGTAAATGCTGGTATATATTTTATAATTAATTATTTTAATTTTAACAAGTAAATAAATTTGAATATGTAAAACAGAATGCTTAATTGTTAAAGGTGAATGATTTTGTAATGGTTACTTTTATGAATGAAAAATATTTAAAGATAATATTTTAATAGTAATAAACCAGTGTTTTATTATAAATATAATCTTGTAATTTAAATAAATTAATTTGCATTAGTGATGTGGCTGTTGTAACATATTTGATTACTCAGGAAGATAGATGATCGTGGCTATTCTGGAGGATTAGGGGTTGATTCTGGGTTTGGACTTCAGGAAATCAAGATATATTGAAAGAGATTAGATAGTTTGGACTGATCTGCTATAAAGTGTATGTTTAAGGTAGTTTGCGGTTATACTTTACATGCCCACCAGTACTTCAGTACATTAAATCATTGAACAATAATGGTTACAGGTTTAATCTTGAACATCTGAGTGCCCTCGTAAAGTTTTTAGATTTGTTCATTTATTTAACCTGTAATAGGGGCTAGTTTTACGCAGAAAATACCCCGTGATCTTTCCTTGATGGTAGATCCACCCTCGTGTTGTATTGCCTTACTCAACAACAAGAACATAGTTTCGTCTGAAGACTTTTTTGATGATAAGAAAACTATTTGAACATCTTTGATTTCAATTGTTGTTGTTCTTTTTAACTTATATTTAGGTTTTCTCACAAATACATGAGCTGTTCATAGCCCGGCACACGTATTTGTAGAATCTAAGTGACTCGTACAACATGGAATTCATATAAAACAGAATTATCAACAGTGTTATAGGGGGGTCTACTGTATTTGCTATACACAAACGTTTTTGACCTAATGTATAGGCCATCATCGGTTGACTGATTTTCGGAACATCAATTATAAACTGTTCCAAAATAGAATACATCAGATATAAAACACTAAATTTTTTAAATATTTCAATATAGATAAAACAATAATAAAATTATAAATTCAAACGGACAACCACCCGAAAAATTCTTAGGGTTTACCACCCATCTGGACTCTTCTCGGGTCTTCTGCAGCTGTAATGTCACCTTAAGTACTGCATTTATACAAATTGCCTGTTCTAAGGCAATTTAAATGTAGGGAAATTAACAGAAAAATGTAAGAAAAAAGAAATTTCATTTGTCAACCATAGATTTGATGCGCCAATGTCTACGTTGTCCATCCAGAAGACGTCTAAAACATACGACTTGGCTCATATGGTGTCTCACTGAGGCCAGTTATTTTAAAATAGTGAAATAATCGGCATTGCATTAAAATTTACGATTATATTTTTACATATTGTTTACTTTCTATTTGTGAAAATACTCGTGGGTTAAAAATGCGTTTTATTTTCGCTGATGTTTCATGTATACATGACAAGGTAAAAGATTGGAATCTTATTAAATTTGTTTGTTTGTTTGTTAAGTTATGGCTACGCAACACTTGGGGAATGCCTTACAAGAGGTCTTTTTAAGGGTAGCTGGCCCCTATTCTGGCGTTACATACGTGGAAAAAACCCGGAAAACTCCACGTGGCCAGACGTCCGAGCGAGACGAGAACCCACGACCGAACTCCAAGTGTTTAGGGTACGAAGACCGCTTGTCCACTGATGGGCCCATTGGACTTCAATAAGCCCTAAGATGCCACTTTGTATCTTGCACTTGGAGTTCGATCGTGGGTTCGCGTCTCGCTCGGAAGGCTGGCCACGTGGAGTTTTCCGGGTTTTCTCCACGTCTCTAACACTAGAAAATTAATTAGTGAAAAACTTTTTTTTTGGACGAGAAAGGAATACTCTATCATTAACAACTTACCAATAAAGCAAAACCTCTAGCTACCCTCTGTCTTAATCCCTTATATATTACGTATTCATAACGATACTCCTATTGGGGATCATTGGGGATCGCAGAAAATGCAACAAAAACTTCAATCGCTATTTTTTTGGTTTACTATGAAAAAAAGACATTAGGAATTATTGTGAAAGCTGTCAATGTTGTGCTCTACAAAAGAAAAAAGACAAACGAAAGGAGGCTAAATTGCAATTATTCCCTTGCAAGCATATTGCAATGGACATTGTAGGTTCTTTACCTTTCAAAACGAACAGAAAGAAGAATATATTAGTCTTTGTGGATCACTTTAGTGAATACGCAGAAGCCATATCTCTACTCAACATTAATAGTAAAACCATCGCTAAGGCCTTTGTTATGCACATCGTTCTGAGACACTAAACACCTCTTTAGCTCTTAAACAGACGTGCAACTAACCTGATATCTAAAACGTTTAAAAAAATGTGTGAGTTACTTCTCATTAAAAGACTCCTTGCTACGCGTATCATACTGCTTGTAAAGGAATAGTTGAGAGATTTAACAAGAGGATTATAATAATGGATGATATAAAACAGGGTAGTTGTAAAAAACAACAGACAAGAGCACAAGACAAAGAGAGATAAGGGGTAATGCTCACAGTACCTGTTATGACTAGTAGAAAACTAAAAAAAAAAAAAACAAAATTAAAATCGTTACTTGTAAATAATAAATAAAACATACAGTCGCTTCGAATTTATTATTTTAAATTTGAAAACAATACAAGTTATTGAAAACCAATAACTTCAAATTTATTCCCACTGTTTCTGAACACGCAATGGTTCAATTAAAAACAATAAATTCTCACTTATTTGAACAGCACTTAATGGTAAGTTTCTTAAGATAAAAGACTCGATAGATTTTCCGTTAGTCATAATCATGACAGAAGTTAAAATAATAAGAAGCATTCTAACTTGCAATGAAATGATTATTGTTAACCGATAACTAATAATGTATAAAAAAAATATAAATCTAACGACGAACTTATACATAATACTATTTATAATTAACTAGAGTACAGAAAGTAATTTTTTGATTATTACGCTGTTTTGATCGATAATGAACACGTAATTATATTTTATATTTGAATGTTAAAAATGTATGAAAGTTTAACGAAGGAAACAAGTGTATACAGTCGACCCCCATATAACACTGTTGATTATTCCATTTTATATGAATTCCATGTTGTACGAGTCACTTAGATTTCACAAATACATGTTCCAGGCTGTGAACGGCTCACGTATTTGTAAAATTTAAGTGACTCGTACAACATAGAATTCATATAAAACGGAATAATCAACAGTGTTATAGGGGGTCGACTGTATTTAATTCCACAATTTTTTATTTAAACAAATAAACTAATAATTATTTGAAATAATCATCAAACATTTTAAATAAGATAAAATTAGAAATCGTAGAATATAATTTTTAGAAAATATTCCATTAGTTAAAAGTAAACATTAATGTTTCCTTAATGACAATGAGTACTGTACATGGATTGTCATAGAGAAAATTAATTTGTTACATTCTTAGAACGCATTACGCTAATACTCATTTCAATTATTCGAGGTCTCCTATGCAGCATGTGTGTATTTTTGAATGTTATATTTAAAGTTAAAATAATAATTCATGATAGTTATATGTATATGGGCTATTGAGGTATTCAGGAGGTTCAAACACCGCTTCACTTAGTTTTTTGCTGCAATAGGTACAATCACATTAAGGATAGTTTAATGAGTGCTGCTATTCTTGAAGTGTACAACTAGCCTTGCAACTCGCACCAATTCATTCATACGCTTACAATGTTTTATCATTTACTCGTATTATATCCTTTAGTGGGGCTCTTGAGAGCACTCACTCCGAAGGTATGTATGGCAAGTAGCTTTTTTTTGCTTTGATTCAACTGTCAGTAGGCTACGATTTTAGAGGTAAAAAACTGCACGCCAACAATATACAGAATGTACAGTAGTCATACTAAGCCATTGATAGAAATCTTATCTTTCTCTACTGCCTATCTGCTATCCCTTATTTTTCCCTAACTTTTCCTTCATCCTTTTTTCTTTTAGCTAAACACCTTGTGTACGACTGTATATGTATATACCATATACACAGTATTCCACTATAGATACAGGTAGAATTTTATATAGAGGTTAGTTACTCCGGTTTCCGATAATCTAGAATTTATTTACTGTAATCTGGCATGCTATTATTTTTCGCATGTGTTGATGTATGGTATACAGTAGACTCCCCTGTAACACTGTTTATAATTCCGTGTTATATGAATTTCATGTTGTACGAGTCACTTAGATTTTACAAACACGTGTGCCGTTCACAGCCCGGCACACGTGTTTGTAAAATCTAAGTGACTCGTACAACATGGAATTCATATAACACGGAATTACGCTGCATTACGTAAGCAACTTTTAAATTCTGCTTTTAATATAGTATTGAAAGGAGAATATCCCAATGTTAAAATTGGGATTTTTAATTACATAATAAAGATAAAATTATTTAATGTATCTGCAATAAATTTACCAAATCCGGTAATAAAGGCGGAGTTCTTGTCACTCCGCCTTTATGAAATAATTATTGTAAGTTATTCATCTTATTTATTTATATAACAACTTATGGTGGCTTTTCCAGCCTGGTTTCTGACTTCCTCACAGCAATAAGCTTATGCCTTATCTGTAGAAGACTGTATAATTAATTGGAAATACTCAATGGGTAATTTTCCAAGGAGAATAGCTTCTCGGGAGTTGTTTCCATGGGAAACTGCTCTTTAAATCTGTATGAGTTTCTTAAGCAAAATTCGAAAAATACCATACATACAGGCTATCGGGAAGGCTAAACTATGCCTTCTCAACAGCCTGGTTGTATACTCAACGCCATGACTAACTTTGTTTAATCTATTCGCTTTCCTCAAGATAGAAACATGCTAATCCTCGTGATATTTTGAGGCTTTGAAGCAATGAAAAATTCGATTTCACGAGTTTAGGGTAGGACCCTGACACCAAGTGAGTGTTGTCGGATACAAATTCAATTTAGGCCAAAAAATTAGGTAGATAGTTAAGGCGCGAGGGTAAGAGTCACTTCAAATTTTAGGAACGAGTCTCTCAGGAAGATGAATGCAAAGCCACGTAAGCTAATTTACTTATAAATGAAAAAAATTTATTATAGAAAAACGGAACAATTTTTAAAGTTAGTGTAAGTTAATAATAAGTATAAAATCTGCTTTAAGAACTTAGTCTATTTCTATTTGTTAAACGAGGGGTACCTTGAGGGAGGTGTCTGAACTTCACGAGGAAAAAAGTTGTCTTCTAGATGTTGTGTTGTTGATTTTCTACTTTTCCTTTTCTTCTTTTTGTTTTCTCTTCCTCTCTCCTTTTATTTTACACACTCACTCTTTCTTTCGTTGTTGTTCACTCAGTCCCTCACTAAATTTCTCACAAACTCTTTCACTATGTTTCTTTCTAAGTCTTCATTACTTGGTCATTCACTAAGTCGGATTTTCTTCATTTCCTTTTATTTTATTCTTCGTTTTGATCAATCGTGATTTTGTTCCGGAGGAAGTTGAGTTAATTGTCATCCAGTAGTCCTCTTTCTCTCTTGTCTAATAAGAATTATATGCGTCCAAGTGGCATGGATGGAGTAACATCTATCATCTGACACCTTTGATCCAGGTGAAATGACGCTCATCCCCTTCATCATTTCTCTCGCATGTTGTGAGATTTATAAGAATTAATTGATAATTTTTTTTTTCTAAATTGTTTCTTTCAATTATATTAAATCGGTATCTCTAAAACTTAAGCAATGGATCCTTAAAATCGGAAAAATACGTGAAATATCTATATAACGTTGATTGATAAACATGAATTCTGGTGTCTGAGCATCAAATTATACTCATTTTAAGGTGATCGTAGGATCGTAGGTACACATGATATAGGTAAATGGATTAAGACACAACATTCAAATAAATTTGTTTTTTCTGGAGACAATATCTTATTTTCTAAAAGTGAATACACACACACACACAAATCTTTTAATGTCGTAACCAACGTTACATAACTGGTTCCGCAGTAAGCACAGCCAGTTTACAGATGTTTCAGGTATTGCAAATGTTATAGTTACATTTACAAAGTGTAAGAGTAAAATGCATTATAGCATAAAGTGTTACAATTAGAGGTTAGAATATATAAGTTTACAATTAGTAGATTAAGATTAAGTATACATGTTTTGTTTCATATAGAAAAGAGATTTGTTATAATACGCGAGACAATTTTTTTGCGTGTTGGGAAGGGCACGACAATGTGTATGAAAGTTATACAGTAAATAATGGGTTATATGTAACAGAATAAATACAAAATATAATAACTACATTGAAAAGATTAAGGCTGTCAGGAACTAAATGTTTACACTTAAAGTTCGAAACATTCATTTTGCATCGTGAACAGTCCTTGCTCTAGCAATTTCTATACTGGAGGATTTCTTTGCAAATTCCTATAAATTTAAACAGTTAATTTATGTAGCATCATGCTAAAAGTCTGAGTGATGCTTAGAAGAAACCCCTAAACATTCAAAGTGAATATACAGTCGACCCCCCTATAACACTGTTGATTATTCCGTTTTATATGAATTCCATGTTGTACGAGGCACTTAGATTTTACAAATACGTGTGCCGGGCTGTGAACGGCTCACGTATTTTACAAATAATTTGTAAGTAATAAGATTACAAATAATTTGTTGTGTTTAATTTTTAAATTAATTTTTCAGGTTATAAATTATTTTCAGATCAAAAATTTCTCCAATAAATTAAAATTATAAATAATTTTATTCTCATTTTATTTCTTTAGTTTTCATAAAACATCCCGTAACAATAAGTCTTACTTTAATATATTCTTTTGAATTATTAAATTAATTTTTAATAATAATTTTTACAATTCGTTCTAATATCCAAGTAAATTAAAACTTGACAATTTGAAATAATACTATAGCAATAAGACAAAGTAGAATAGGGAAATAGTTTAATATAATAATTACCGTATTTAAATTATATTTGTATATTAAATTGTTAAATTATATTTTTTGTAATAATATTTAATTTTATTGTAATTTGATATTCACATTTTGAAGTTTTTAACAGTATGTATTTATATAAAGTACCTTTGTGGCCCACCGAATATTCCTAAAATTCCAGGGTTGTCCAATTTTTTTAGGAAAAAGATTGGACAACCCTGGTCTAGAAAAAGTTTTCTAGGACTCTTTCAATTCAGATGTTTAACTCCTCCACTTCTGCTGAGAGAAAAAGAAAAGTCTCACAGTTGCTTATCCTGGTATGCAATAGGTTTTTTTTTTGTAGAAATTAAATTTCCTAGTAATTGCACTGCATCACGGCTAATTTAAATTCCTCAAGCAGGAGTGGATAAATTTGAAACTGTCATAGAACGGAAACGGTACGTTTTCGGACATGGGTTCATAATCAAAATATTATGTATTCACTCCCCTCTACAAATCCTAGAAGTTTGTAATGAGAACTTCTGAACACCCTGTATAATATAATATCGTTTGTAAACCTTTAAGGACCTAAATTAAGGTTTAATTATTATGTGTAAATCATATTTAGACGTTATGTAGTTTGTTCATTTGTATTCTTTCTTATTTATTAAACTTTTTTTAATTATTTAATGGGACTTGATTCTAGTTTCCTGACAGACTCCTATCACTTACTCATGTGTTTCCCCACTAAAACGAGCCCTCCTAATTCAAGTAGTACGAATTGCGAGTTAAACCGCGAAACAATAGTTCAAGTGGTATTGGAAATCCAGACGTAGGAGACTACCATTGTATGATCGTTTAGTCTCCGCATTTTTTTTATCACTCGTAGAAAAGCGATCCTTTGATGCAGAGATCAGATATCCCATTCTTTTGCCAATTAAATGAGAGAGAGTTTAATTCAAGACACCTACCGCAGGTTCATCTTACAAAATTCACTTTTCACATAGCAAAGCCTGCAAACTATTATTCATTTAGTAGATTACTGATGTGTTTTGTCGCCTTACACTCTGTCAATCTAATAACACAAATTTTGATGCTGACATTTTAATGCCTTGTAAATAAAGTTATATTTAACTTTTGTATGAGTGTAAACTCCAAATGCTATGTGTGTATATATTGCAATACAGTAAATAAGAAAGTACACTGTAACTGACTAATATTAATTTAAGATTTGTCTGTTTAAATTATATGTTATAATGCCAATAAATGAAATATCTTTGATTATTTTTATAGTAATTTTTCTTCACATTTATAATTATAACAATCTTATAAAGTCACTTTATGTAATTTTCTTACAAAAAGATGATTTAATAATTCACCCAAAAACGTTTATTCAAAACAAATAATTTAATAAATGAATTTTTTATACAATGAAATATTACATAATATTTATTTAGATATAAAATGCAACAGTACAAAACAAATAAAACATATGTTGATGAATATATATTAAAAAAAATAAATATAAAGATAACTTTTTTAAACATGAATAAACAACGAATATATAGAACATTTTCTGTGTATAATCGGGGTTTCATTTTGTGGATTTGGTATCTTTAATTAAAGTTTATCACTTAAATATCATTTTAAACTTTAATTGGGGATGCTAGGTTTATGAAATGAAACTGATTGTGTGCATTTTTTTTGTGGACTCATTTCGTTTCAATGTGAGTTGCTGTATATCAACAGGCTTTGGGAATGGGTTTTATAACAATAGGGTGATTTGTTTTGAAGGCAACTTAATTGGTTGGGTTGACTGGAGGCATAGTGAAATTGTGGCACTGTCTGTATTAATTGTGTGTTGAGGTGCGTGCAATTGGATTGGTTTTGAATGTATATTGGGAATTTATATGTCGTATGATAGGTTGGTGTTGAATAAATGGGTGTGGTCATGTTATCATTGTGGTCATGTATAGGTTTGATGTCTTTGGTTGGAGTTTGTCACTTAGTGGTTTGATGTCTTTGGTTGGAGTTTGTCACTTAGTGGTTTGTCTTTGGTTGGAGTTTGTCACATAGTGGTTTGAAGTCTTTGGTTGGAGTTTGTCACATAGATAGGTATTGCTTCGAAGAAGTTGTGGTTTGGTGTGGGCCGTGTAGTGGTTCAGGGTTTCATGGGTTGGTTTGGTCAGGCAGTGTGAATTTGATTTAAGGAGGGACACTTTTTCAATGTTTCGAATTTTTTTTTATATTTTAATTTTAATTTTTTTTTGTAAATTTAAATCTTAAATTTTTTTTTGTAAATTTAAATTTTAAATTTTTTTTGTAAATTTAAATCTTAAATTTTTTTTTGTAAATTTAAATTTTAAATTTTTTTTGTAAATTTAAATCTTAAATTTTTTTTTGTAAATTTAAATTTTAAATTTTTTTTGTAAATTTAAATCTTAAATTTTTTTTTGTAAATTTAAATTTTAAATTTTTTTTGTAAATTTAAATCTTAAATTTTTTTTTGTAAATTTAAATTTTAAATTTTTTTTGTAAATTTAAATCTTAAATTTTTTTTTGTAAATTTAAATTTTAAATTTTTTTTGTAAATTTAAATCTTAAATNTTTTTTTTGTAAATTTAAATTTTACATTTTTTTTGTAAATTTAAATTTTAAATTCTTTACTGTTTTTTAAAATTTAAATAATTTTAAAAATTATTTTTCAATATTTATAGATAAAGATAAGAATGAAATTGTACAAGGTCAGAAAAAATGTAACTGACTGTAAATATATACAAATTAAGTATAAAGAAGCAGGAAATGACCTTCTACAATCATTAATTTCTGAAATTCTTTCGTTTTCTGTAAAAATAAAATAAAACTAATCAAAATATTTTTCATATAATTATAAATATTAAAATAATTTTCAAATCAATATGTTTATATTTTGTAAGGTAAAAATGTATGCGATTGAGATTGAGTTGTTTTAAGGTAGCCATAACTTTTATGAAAATTATGAAGCTTATGTTTTAAGGTTTTCTGATCCTGAATTGCCTCCAAGCATGTATTTTTTCGCTATTCTTCAGCTGGATTTGTTATGGATACCCTTTGTTTGCTGGTTTTGAAGAAGCCTCATTACAGTCAATGTTCCAAGATATCAAAAATGTAAGAAGGGATTCACATTGAGCGATTTTGTGATACTGCTACATGTGATTTATAACGTATCCAATTATAGTACTGCTGATTCATTTTCATATTACATAAAGTTACTAGATAATTTTTCTCTTCAACTATTATACTCATAATTTAGATTTGATAACCAACTAATTAACTAAAATCGTATTCCTTACACGCTGGCTTTGACTTTTACTATTTATATTTTAATATGAATGTAGTTATGACCAAACACTAGTAGTTGGTCATAGATTCGAATCGAATGTATACACAAATTAATTGAAATATAGAAATTCAATAAAAATTTTGTAATAGTATGTAAGACATTATCTAAGTTAGAAGCATGTATTAATATAACTGCAGCGTTTCATAGCAATTTGTCGAACTGTCCATGCATGCATCTCAGATAAACATTCATTTATATATACGTAAAAGTAAAAGATACTTACCAAAAGAAAGATCGGAAAAATTTCTTTAATTTAGAAAACTTTCCCTTTTTTGGTGCATGATCAGTTGGTTCATTATCATGCACATTAGATGCCATATTCTCTATTATTTTACTGTATCAAAATGAAAAATGTAAATAAATTGAAAACTATTGATAACATATATTTATCATTCATAATTAAATATTAAAACAGTAAAATATAATTGAACGTTTGAATGGCTAAAAGAATCGACTTTACTGCACGAGTAAAAATGTTATGTATTAAATATTATTACGCAATGAATATTATTGATTTATCGCCTTATTTATGATATGTTTTTTAATGAAACTACGTCCCATAAGCTGATACTATTTTTACTCGTCAAAGCTTGTGTCTTTTTTTATTAACGTAACACTTTCATTTACGGTAACAATGTTGAAAGTATTGTTAAACATTTTCATCATACAATGCCATTTAAAACATTTTAAAAGTTGGACATTAATATAATATGCTGTCTACTGTAAGGAAAAAAAAGCTTGTACAGCTTTTCCTGGATTCTTCGAAGCACAACAGAAGGAATACAAATACATAATGTATTAATTTACTCATTTGCAAAAAGGAAATAAAAATGCCTGTTGTAAAACAGGATTTGTCTCAGATAAAATTCTTTACAACTTAGCAGTTCTAAAGAATTTTATCTGAGACAAATCTAGTCATACAATTTAGCAATATATTTTATTGTTTGTGATAAGAAATGCTATATTTTTCTGGAATAGTGGAGATACAAAAAATGAAAATTCCATGCTATAACAAAGATATAGATAATTTAATAATATAGATTCGTGTGTCACACAAAAAGAACAATTTTCAAATTATTTGTCTCTTTCAGTGTCTGTTAGGAAAAGGTTATGTTAAAACTACAGATCATTAATCACTAAAGACAAGTCACAACTATGTACATTCAGACAAACTTTCAATAAATAGAAAAAGTTATGTGAAAATATGGAAACCCTTCAAATTTAACGGATATTAAACACTTAAATTTACCAAACGTAATATTGTATTAATTAAATTTTCAGATCTTTCTCTTCAATTTTAACATGAATAGATTTTGAATTCAAGAAAAAATAATGATCATTGTCAAAATCGAATTTATCACCAATAAGGAAGTTGCACATTATCATTAAACTATATTAGATCTATCATTTTATTAATTTTTTTAACTACATAAAGTATTCACAATGAAATGTGAATTTCAATGTGAAAAAATAAATAACATCCTTTATTTAATGTTAGTGAATATATAAAGATTTAATATTAATTTTTGTAATCATGTATTTATGTTTTTATATATATTTATTACAATTATTCCATTTCCATAATAGAAAAACAATACGGAAATTGAGATATAAACATCTATTAAATAAATATGAAAATTTTACCTATTAGAATTCTCTTTAATAACTTGTGGCTCAACTGTTTCATCACAGGATATATTTTCGCATTTATCGGAACAGAAGTAGTCATCGTTACTTAAATCCTGCTGCGAGTCACAATTGTTGTCGTTAAAAAAATCCTCACTAAGATCGAGGACAATGTCCGAATAACCCGCTTCTTGGTATCCTTCTATGTCCCAACTCAATAAACTATCTCGATCACTATCATCAGTTTGTAATTTTATATTAAGAGCTGGAAGATGACATTGTTCCTCACACAAAAATTTCGGATTTCTGGAAACGACAACAGAAAATGAATTAAAATACGTATTGCATACGTACATACGTATGATTTTCATGTTTAATCTTACTCGTTTTGACAGTCGTTCATTGCTTGCGACTCAACTTTCTGAGCACTCGATATATGATGATTTTCATACTTATCGCAACGAAAATAATGATTATGTTTATAATCCTGTTGCGAATTGGAATCGCTGTAGCCAAAATATTCCTCAGAAAGGCCGAGAACAATTTCCATATAACCTGTTTCTCGGTAAGATTCCAAATCCCAACTCAAGAAATCATCTTCATCTTCATCGCTATAATCAGTTGGGATGAGATCAAGAGGGCCAAGTTTCTCCTCACAAATATATTTTGAATCTCTAGTAACGATAATGATAAATCAAATAAAATTCGTATTGCATACGTATATACGTATGATATTTAAATATAATCTTACCTGTTGCAACAATCGTTGACAGCTCGCGGCTCAAATTTTTGAGCACATGATACATGATTTTCATACTGATGGCTACAAAAGTATACATCTTTCTTATAAACATTTTGCAAGCTAGAATCTCTATCATTGAAATAATTCTCAGCCAGATCGTTGACAATTTCTGTATATTCTATATCTTGATAACTTTCAAGATCCCAACTCAACGAATCTTCTTCGTTATCATAATGAGTTGGGTATTTTCTGCTGAGATCTGGAGGATCAAATTTCTCCTCAAACATTACTAATTTTGGACTTTTATCCACATCTCCACGCCCATACGTATCTTTAATAACTATCTCCATTCTGAAATTTGAGAAAAAAAACAATTTGTAAATTATTCGGGTCTACACGTCAGGGAATAATGAAGCGAATATTTTTCACAGATTTATTCTCATTATTATATACTTTGGCTATCGTAATAAAATATATTCTAATCCGAATTAGTTTTATAATATGAAAATAATTATTAAAATTAATTTCTTATTCTAGTTCTTTGCTGTTAATTAATATTAACACTCTTACGATTACCTAACGACAAATTTCTACATTGGTAATTTTATTTTTATAAAAATATTTGTACAGAATGTTTTGTAGTCTGTCAAAATATTACTTACGTTTATCAATAACACAATTTACTTTTATAAATTACGCAGAAATTCTCGGAAACGTCCGTTTTCTTCGAAAAATATTCTCAAGAAAGAAACTGTAACAATGGGTAATCTATTGTTGCCCGTATTCTTGCTTTTTTTCCGTGACGTTGAAGCTGTCGCTGTAAAAACAAATGAATTTTTTAAAAATATCTGACGCATATTTATTTCTGATTCAACGAACTTTATTACAAATGAGTTCCGAACATTAATTGCTGTGAATAATAGAAAATTAACATTTATAAATTGTACATAAATATATTATTAATGCATAAGCATACGTTTTACATTCATAAATATGCTGCTCTCTCTTCTTTTTTCGTCAGATATTAAAGCAAATATTTTTAAATAGCATTCGCGAGTGCCTGTAATTTAGTTGCTTTACACCATTCAAATATTTTCTCTGTGGAAGTTATCTTCTATTCGATAAAACAGCACTTTTTATTTGAAATACGCTCAGACAAATTTATATTCGAATATAAAATATCAAACTCATTATTGTTTTTCACGTGTATAGAAACATATAATTAAATATATAATGCGGTTATAATAAAATATTAATTTTAAGTAATTCAAAGTACTTATGATCGCACAATATCTATTTATATTTTAGAAAATACAAGCGAAGAGGCGATTTTACAACTTTCATTAAGGGCAAGCAAATGCTCATAACTGTAATGTATATTGTAAAAAGTATTTTTTTTTTATGGCCAAATATTTGCTGTAAATTATTTTCAAATATATAAATAATGACCCAATAGGACTTGCTATAACATCTTTTATTCTAGTAGAAAATTGTTTATTATTCGGTGATTTATGCGAATCTCTGAATACGTTAGGATTTAGAATACAAAATTAACACGCCTCTGGAACTAGAACTGTTCAGTTTGTGTGTACCGTATTTGTACAATTGGGGTAAATTTATTGTTTCAGAAATTAGCTTATTGCACAAATCTAGTAACGAAGATTGGGACAATGCAGATTCTGTTTAGAGGAGATTGTCTGTGTGATCAGTAGGGTGCAAAATATGGCGATGTAACAAAGATATTTTCAAGTTTACAGATCTCGAAAAGAGGTGAATCGAGGATAAGACACGTTGATATCGAGAATAAGGAGGAAAAAATTACTTTTCACGATTATCCAGGAAAGTGCAAAGGGAATAAAATAATAGTTAGAAATGACTACTACATAAGAGATAGGAATATATTCACTTACGATATAAATTTAGAGGAACTTATTCAGTCAGTGGAGTGCCGTGACATTTGATGATAGGGAAGCTGTGTTTCTATAAAAAGCCGACTTCCAGGGGCAATCAGTTAATTCTTTCTTTAAATGTATTTTTAATAGATTATTTATCCGACGTACTTAATAAATAAACAAGTTCAATATAATTACCTTTGTTATTACATCCAATATATTCCATACGCCCTCTAAATGCCAATTCTCGCTTCGATAAAAACATTTATTATTTAGATATAATATATCTATTAACCGCAACTATCTCGTTATAATTTTCAATATTTATTTTATATTATTTACTAACGTCAAATTCTATTCCGCTTCGATTTCCAAATTGCTTCAAATAGGAAAGAATCGACGATTTTTCGTGCATTTTGGCAGCTAAATCGTCAAAGCCATTCTTATTCCACATACTAATTTCATTCGAAAACAGTAGGCGAGCCAAGAAAACAATTTTTGCATTTATATGCATTTACGGAGCCATTTTATCGGAAGCGTTTATATTTAACTTAGGCATTGGCCTTTTTCTTTTAATACTGTAATGTTTTCTTTTTTATTATACGGTCTCGAGCCAAAACTTTTTTAAAATAAATTTTCAATATCGCAATTACATTCCGAATCGCTAGCCACGATATAAAAGCTAAAATTAAAAATAAAATTATAAAAACTTACTCGGTGAAATAAAATGCGAGGTGGATATACATACCTGGTACATAATATTCTTCAATTGTATGAATATACTTTTAAACAAAATTATAATTAAATATAACTTTGTAATGAAACGTACATGAAAATAACATAAAATATTCTTTACTCTTTAAATCTTAACCACTTAGTCAAATAGCTCCCTACGAGTGGAATCGGAGACGGTGCCGCTTGGATGCACGCGGGCTACCAAATCCCGAGGGTACCGATACCGGTCAATGTCAAATGCCTCTTTTGTCGCATCAGTAATATACCACAAACGACGCTACAGGGTTGTTGTAAATTTTAAAAGTTTCTCACCATAGCTGTAAAATTCTAAATATGTTAAACTTAATAGATTGTCCGTCGTTTGTTTTCTAACTAATTCGTTTTAGGATTGGGTGTTGTCCACGGAAATTTCCAAAATTTACAACTCTTCGTCACTTTCGTCGAACTGGAAGAATGTCTGTCTTTATTACATGTAATATTTCGAAGAAATCAGTCCCACTGTACTCGGCTATAGATTGGTTCATTTAAGCTTTTGTTTAAGTAATATTCAGGCTCTTTCGTCGGAGTTTTGTTTACGTCTCATTTCCCTAATCGCTTAATTATTTAACTACTTTTTAAGTAGAAATAAGTAGAAACCGGTTACTTTCTACTCGAATATTTCTAGTCTTGGGAAAAAGTAGAAAAACAAATTTTTATGACAAACGGATACATAAATCGTAAATTAAAAAAAAAAAATAAATTCTAGAGCTTTTTCTTTATCTCGTGCATCTCTCTCATTCATTAAATTTATTGGTAAATGATGCTACCAAAAAACAGTTAACTATACAAAGTAACATTATGCAAGAATTGTACACGTTTTTTTCTACATCCCCTTAGAGATGGGACATGCGAAATCGTAATATCACTGGTTTAACATTGAAATTCCGTGAGTAATATAAAATCGGAGAGCGGAATAAATATATCAAATATTTTAACGGATTTTTTAAAACTCCCGTCAACTATACACAAAACTATCATAAAAGCATACAGGTAAATTCTTATCGGTTGGGTTAAGTTATAAATCTACTCGTTATTCACGTAATCGGCCAAATATCTAGCGGGCGGGTGGGCGGCTAACGGTCCGGAACCGGTCCTGGGTAGAATTGGATGCGGTATACGTGTAGCACCCACCCGAGGTCGTAGGCTTCCACGGCTAAACCGGGTGAGGTTGGTACTCTATAAAGCGCGTGCGCGAATCTGGCTTTTTGGATGCTGACGATACGGCGCTTCCACTCCGCCACTAATATTCGAATATACAATAGGGATCTTATTTTTTTTTTTCACGTGTAATATAGAAATTTGTAATAAGATACATAATGCGGTTATAATAAAATTTTGTGCAATAATTTTGATATACAGTAGAGCGTTGTTTATCCGAAAGCCGGTTAACCGAAAGAATTCCAGTCTGCCAATTTAAATTTTCGCTATTGCTGTGGCGCTGCAATTTTTAGCTATATCTTGGGCTACTCCAATATTTTTTTCTTGGTGTGTGTGTTTTATCTGGCAGCACTGGCACTTGTGTGTGGTGTTTTTCTGAGGATTGTGTCATGCTGAATCGAACACTTTTGATACTAGATTAACTTCTAAAGTATAATTTTTTTTTGTTTTTATATTTTTCAATATATTTATTTTGTTTGTAAAAAATAAATAAATAATTTTTAACGATACAATAGCCGCGATTATTATTTTAAAAAGTTTACATTAGGCTTAACATCGACGAAAATTCAATGCGAAGCCACACGCAAAGGAGAAAAATTTCAACACGGGATAGGTTAATATATTTTTTCGTACATAATCGGTTATCCGAAAAATAAGTTACCCGAACAACCCCAGTCCCCAATTGATTCGGATAAACGACGCTCTACTGCAATTAAAATTAATATGTATTTATTTTTTAAAAAATACAAAAGAAGCGGCGCATCCACCGCTTCTAATTACAATACGCTACTGATACTTTGAAGTTCAAATGTAATAACAAGATCACTTACTATCCCTATGAGCAATTACGTATGTCGGAGTCTGAATTGAAATCTAACTGATTTATTCTAAGAACGAAGAAAATCTCGCTTATTAAATGAGTGATTTTTCGAAATGCAATTTCAAACTTGTAAAAAGTGATTTAATTTTAATTGTTTGTTTTTATACCAGTAAAAAGACAGTTTAATTAGTACACACGATACTTTGTGTAGAACCAAACATGTAATGTAAAGGTGTAGTAAGTCTAGCAATAACTGTTCGTCATTATATCAGCAGTGCTTTCAATTGTGAATTTCTTCTTTAAATCTTTGCAACTTGCGTTGTACAACTGTTTAATGCCTCAGAGACATGTCTAAATTTCCAGCTAACATAGTCGGGTATTCGAAGCAACTATACAAAATTTAATTAATTCGGGTTTGTTTCGTTCGTAAAAGTTGGTCTATACCCATCTCCACTGCCACTGTTCTCAATAATTCCAAATTTATTAAAACTGGTCCTCTTACACCACACTAAACGTAAGAAACCGGCCGTCTTACTATCCATACTGCAGAAATACTCAAATATTTAAACAAATGTTAGCATCTTCGAAAGAAGCAGGTGGCCTTTGTAAATCTTCTCTTGCCATTCAACTGTTCTTTCTGCAGAAATCGTGTGTCCAACTTTCATGTTTCATTAATTAATGTAGTGTATATCATAATTTGTCAGCTGTCTTCTTTCCATTGCATTTGGTCAAAATATATAATTTAGGGAATTAGTATTTTGATTTTTCGAAAGAAAAGAAATTAATGTTCACTTAAGTACGTGTACTTAGTGCTGTACCTTCATTAATGAAGATGAAATTTACTCAATTACGCTAATGTTGGTTTGTTATCTTAGTAATAAAAATTCTTCTGTTAATATTGCTGGAATTGATAACCAATATAAAAATACCTATTGCCCGTTAATGTGTATTTTATAGTGTTCAAGAACGAGCTTAATACACTCCTGCTTTGTTCATAAAACAAAGAAGTAGAAAATGTCAGATAATTCACTCAAACCAAATACCGGTGTATGTTGAAATTTCCAAGAAATTTTGTAAATTTTTGAAAATTTTTCTAATTTCATTTATAAATAATAATAATAAAAAATTTGGATCGCCATTATAAAGAACAATAACGAATTGGTTAGGAATGTGTTAGGAAAAACCTTGACCGACTTGGCCATGTAGCCATTGTTATTATATAACAGAAAATGGTTCATTTTACAAACACATAATGTATATGAGCAAAAAAACATCATATTTGTGTTCGAGCCACGACTTAACAAGCATTAATCATTGGCATGTATTTTAGATTATAATTTGGTTTTGTAGATATGAGCCCATCACCGGTGAAGTGATACGGCTACAAAAAACTGGTTTGTAGATTCGTCCATCAGTAACTAGCTGGCTACGTGGAATTTTCCGGACTTTCATCATGTTTTCACATCTGTTAGATGTGCGATCGTCCTCCAGGGATGCATCAATCTTCGACAGATTGCCCACGTGTCGCGTTTCCGTATGCAAATAAATCATAAATATTCTGCTCGAACACACATTCATTATCGTTATCCTTGAAATAATTCCAAAAATATTTACATTACCTTAGCAAAGTGGATATAATTGCTTAATAAAATTATTTTCCTAGATTCTAATCAATAGTAAGTAGTAAAGTGTTTTAATAGATCAAAAATATCGAGTTTTAAAAAATCGATTCTATTTAGAAATGAAATTGCATCGTCCACTTTCTCTGTGTTTTTCAACGTCTACAATTCCTTCTATGCAAAGTGGATTTTAATTTCTATAGAACAAATTCTCGATTCATTTGATATGAATTTATGCACTATATCTTTTATTCTGCACGAATCGAATTAAAAAATGGAAAGGATATTTAAATAATGTATAAACTTTTGAGAAATTATAGTAGAAAATAATATATATTTTTTCGATACACCTTACTAATGGCAGGAAACGAGTTGAATTATTGTCCAACTTACATCTTTTATCCCGTTTTATCTGCTGTTAAAGTGTTTGGTATCGACTTTGTGTTACCGTGTCCTTGTTTCAGAGATTCAGCAACAACAAAGGTACCCGTAAACAATCGCCTGTACGACATTTATAAAAATATTCTGGAAATATTTTCATGGCTGATGCCCGGTTTCTTAGTGGTGGAAATTTTATTTCCTAATTTCTATTGCGTCCGAGTTATACACATGTATGGCAATTACGCTGTGTGGGCATCGTTCTCTCTTCTTCTTCTTTCGATCTACTTGGCTCTGCAGTTCAGCATTTTAAAAAGAAGGAAAATTAATATTCATAACATGAAAAGCAGTTACGCGGGAGAATCGCAAATGGCAGATCGAAGTGAATTGTATCTATTGGGATATCTGGCGATTTTCTTCTCGGTCTCCTTGTCACTGTCTGCAATGACATCGGGCATATTTTACTCCGTGATAAAGCAGCAGAATGGAAGCGACATCGAAGCATTTACTCATGTACATGAGTAAATGCTTCGATGCATTCATGAATGCTTCATGAAGCATTTACTCATTTACTCATGATGCTCAGTACTTCATTCCGTTTGGTTTTTGTATGTTGCTGCTCATATTATGTCGTTAGTTATCATCTTTGGTGAAAGCGGTTACATTATCTCAGAGAGGTTAAGAAAATTATCGAAATATTTACATGGAATCAAGACAAAACCGTTCGTGTTGATTGCTGACATTCAGGACACAATAGAAAAATATACCGAAATATGGGAGATTATTGAAGAAGTGAATGAAAAGTTCTACACTCTAATTCCTCTAGCTTACTTACATTTTCTGCTTATTACATGTGTTTTTACTTATGGAGCCATATTTGTCCGTATGAATTATCATTTGAGGATAATCATCGTCATCATTTCGATATTCTTTGTGATTGGAATTCTTCTTGTATCCTGGTCCATTTCCTACGTAACCTCTACAGTAAGCATTTGTTTTGAAAGTTTTTCATTCGGCTGCAATTTGAAAAAAATATTGTACATTTATAAATTTCCACTGTCGTTTGTTTGGCTTATTGTTTTTTCTTAACCCCGAGAACAGAGTTAGATAGACGAAAAGTAAATTCAGATATAAACCGTAGGTGCACCAGGCCCAGATGAACTATCATCCAACGTCTGAGGCAAATCGAAAGTCGTGTTATAGTAATTTAAAATTTTTACTCTGAAAGGTGTTAGATAAATGACCGCACGACTGTATTGTTAAAAAAAGGTGTGATGTACATGGGCAAACCACTAGTAATTTGAGAATTTAAATTAAATTAATCTAAAATATGAATAATAATTGCAGCCTGGCATTGTGTCCGAGTCACAATTAATAATTGCTCGTTATTTTTAGTTATAGAAACTAGTTATTTTTTATTAAATACATTATAGACAATACGCTAATATATATTATTTTTTATATTTAAATTTAGTGTTATGACGACTTCGTTTCCATTGGAAAATTTTATTCGCTTGATGTACCTGTGGAATTTAAATTTAAGGTATTATTTCTGTATTTTATTATTAATATTATACGTTTGATTCATTAAACTAAATTTTTCTTGTATGCACATACATAAGCCCTTTTTCCAAATCTATAATAGGCTCAGCTGGGCATGCAATAGTGCGGCCGGAGTTAATGAATTGAGCCCCAATACCACCTCCTAAAATTCATATTAATTGTTCTAATATAATGAAATTTTAAAAACCCGAATTTTTTACATAAAAAAATAAATGTCTTGTTGAAGAAAAAGTAGTTTCGCTCGTGAGAGAATAGAAATCAGAATTAAGAATATCTCTTGACGTTTTGATGTGTTTTACTCAAATATTAACAGGACAGACTTTAATTATTAATATTTCCATAAATTCTCAACAACTTTTGTGGGAATGTAATCAACAAATACACCCGCAACAATTGTTATCAATACTTTGTTTTTTTACTTAACAGATTGTCGATTTCATGAAAACATTTGGAGGATTTCCCATAGGAATATCAGTTGCAGATTTCTTCTTCATTAAAAAAAATTTTCTGATCAGAGTGAGTATTACATTTGAATACTAATTTTTAATTATTTTAATAATTGTTTAACGAAAAATGAGTCTGAATGTTTGCGTTTTAGGTCATTCGTGCTCTGTATTCCATTTTGTCATCGATGATCCAATTGAGTGGAGTAATGGAAAGAAAGAAACGGTGTAAATTATACTCATCAAATCTTAACAGGACAGACTTTAATTAATTTGGTGTCATTACAGAAAGTATTTACTTAATTACGAACAGACAAGCCTTCATTTCCGTTTGTGTTATCACTTATCATTGAGTAGACTGCATAAAACTGTAAACATTGGTCGTGAGTTCGTATGTACGCTGAAAAATAACGAATTATTCTTGTTGACTTATTAAGCTCTGTACACGTGTTTTTTTTTTTTTTTAAATAGGAACAACATAAACATCATAGGCGATTATTTTTCTTAAATATTTTTTTCTGTCTGAGCACTGCAAGATAGTTTATCAGTTGTTTTCTTCAACAAGTTTATTACAAGAGATGAAAACTTAAGAAACGTTTATGCAAAGATGTCATCTATTACTTTTTTGAAATGCACGATTATGCTTATTCTACGAATTAAACAATATCTTCATGATTCGGTTGCGATTCTTGAAATATTATTGTATGCTGATTTTTCAAATCCTATCTAATGTCGCATTTCTGGTATACAGATTCTGTTTTAGGCAACCGAATGCACGAAAGTCGAGGGGACTCACATCACAACCCTTAACGGGTACTTCTTGTTTATGTAACCATTTCCTTTTCGTACGAACAGTCTGAAGGCATTGTTAGGTCAATTGTTCGGTGTTTGAGCTTGCTTTCCGTGATACTAAAACACCTCATTCGAATACACAAGTGGATGAAGCTCTGCAAACCATTGGTTTCAGAACGTGGTATACCACTGTCTAGATGTTATAAATTTCGAGGGCACTTTGATAAACGGAAATAGATATCTTTTTCTGACAAACAATCCTCAAATCTGAATCCTCGATAATTGTTTTTTGTGCGTTGCCGTCACTAATTTTCTGGATATAATTCTCTGGGTTTTAAATAACGAATTTTACTAGTACAAATTGAGTATACCCAATAGTCATCCAAGCGATTCGCTTATTTCACCTTCAAAATGCCTTTCATATAACTCTTTATATTTGTATTGCTATTGGTTTTATTATCAAATTTGTTAGTTTACAAACATCGATTTTTACCAGCGCGCTGTACTTCGGATCTTTGTGAAATACGCGACTAATAAATGACAGTGACAATTTTCACTTCGCCAATGCAGTTTCAGTCGGGGTATTTGGTGTAGTTATTCACATATGCTTAAATAATCACTGTTTCAATAATAAAATGCGTCATAATTTTAACCGAAAATACAGAAAAATGTAGACGTTTGAGCCGAAATTCTCGCCACGCTCGACGTTCCAAACGCCAATGTCAAACTTCTGAAATTTCAAGATGGCGGCGCTTGACGTTTGACGTTCACGTTTTAGAGATGAAAACTTCGGCCACAACCTCAATATGATTTGCTATTATTATTATCATTATTATTATTATTAAATTTAATTTGGGAGAATGATTTTTCTTCAATCGTATCCTTTTATATAAGTAAGAAGGAAATGTAATTAGCATTCTTGATGCTTTGTGTAGGAATAGCATGCGATGTAGATTTGTGATAGGTTAGTCTAGTTTGTAGTTTTATCAGTAGTATCTTAAATCGCCAATTATTTTTGAAATATTTTCAACCTGCGTTATGTACAGGTGCCAGTGCTCAAATAGTTCAGAAACACGTCTAAATTTCAAGTTAGCACAGTGGGAGTTGCGTATTCGAAGGAACTGTAAAAATTTAATTAACTTTGGTTTTGTCTGGCCCGACTGACGTGCAATCTAAATATGTATTAAATGTTCGTTAATAAAAATAAATCCAGTAACTTCAGTTGAGTAACTTTCGTGGTTGTTACTGAATTTTCGCGGAATGACTGGCATGCCGGTCTATGCAGGCGAAATCATGTAATCAGATATTTCTGTATGGTAAAAGTAGCATGCCGGAAACACTGAAGTTTCACGCTAGCTGGTCTTCCCCGTTTTTATGCAACATGGCACCGAGAAGCAGAAATATATCAAGCGTGTACCAACCTTTTCGGCCCTTTTTGTTTGGAGGGAACTTAAAATAACAAAGTTAGTCAAATGACTAACTGGTATATTAAAATAAACTTGTAGTTTCTATCGAATTTAGACAGAAAATCTATCAGTTCTACTTGACATTTGGAATTCATATGTGAAAATACCCTTGACTTAACAACATTTCTCGTCCCCGTGTATTTTTATATTACTTGCAAACGCTCAAAAACAACTTGATATTTCTTTGAGTGATATTTATGTAACGACGATTCAGTTCTTTTATCCTCCTATCTCTGCCACCACGTTCAATAAAAATTCGTGTTTCGTACAGAATATCAAACAGATCATTACTTGAACAATACGATATTACCTCTGCTTCTGTACCTTCAAATAAAACTATTAAATTCTCTATTCCTTGAACTTCCAGAACATCATAATGTTCAATTAATTATAATCTCTAGGATTTTTTTGTCGGTCATTCTACCTATCTTCATTTCTCGTGTAATTCGTAATAACTTTTCATCAGTTTGCGAAGAACTATTGTCTTTTTGATTACACTTACTTAGAAGGAATTCAAATCTCCTTTTCATCACCTGTTTCTTATTCATTTCACAAAAAATTATACAAAAAATAATTAAAAGAAATGTAATTACAAACATTTTACAATTGTCTGAGCACTGAGCAAAACTAGAAAGAAAGACGGTAAAAAACTGATAACTTTACTAAAAACCCCGAAGCCCGATAAATAAAAGAAATGTTTGCGATAAAGTTCTACACTGTCCTAAATTATTTAATAAATTATTATAATTATTAATTTAGATAAGACATAGCGTCTTACGTCTACCTCTAGTACTTATTAAGTCAATGGTTCCCAACCTTTTTTCATTAGTGTACCCCGTGACATGCCATATCTCTAGATTGTACCCCTCATTTAAGAAATTTAGTGAGTAACCGTATTGTTAAATTTACATATTGTAAGTAGTAGTGGTTTGGGCAGCTTTGATCACAAAATTAATTTCAGATGTCAAATTAAAATTTCAAATAAAAATTTGTTAAATAGAATTATTTCAGACGTTGATTAAATTAAAATTTCAAATAAAAATTTGTTGAATAGAATTATTTCAGATCACAAAATTAATTTCAGATGTCAAATTAAAATTTCAAATAAAAATTTGTTGAATAGAATTATTTCAGACGTTGATTAAATTAAAATTTCAAATAAAAATTTGTTGAATAGAATTATTTCAGA